GAACTTGAGTCCCAGTCTGTTTGCTTCCCTGATGTGCTCCTTTGCAAGCAGCCCGAACACCACCTCCTGCTTGACAACCGGCCTGTCCTCACTGACGTCGTAATACGTGCGAACACCGGCTTAAGCGGGAGCATGATGAGCCTGACCTTGTTTTCGCGCTACGACCTGCTTTGCAACCAACACCTCGCTTAACTTTGCAAACTATCCCCCTTCATCTGCTCTTCTGCTTCAAGTTGGTGGGATGGGCATGTCTTCTCAGCCTTCTGCTACCTCTTCTGAAGCTGCTCTTCGGGGACTTCCTGCTGGGGGAAGTCCTCTAGCTCGGAGGGTCTGAACTTTTGTGTGATGTGGTGCCTCTCAATTCTAATGTGTTTCTAAATCTGTGGTGCGGGTGTGTTTGCTTAAGGAGGGGAAAAATACTATAGTCTCATTTGGTGTAATAGATGTCATAATGCCATGGCTGAATTATGTCGTCATAAACACACATTGATATATAAATATATAAATATATATATATATAATTATATATATATATATATATATATATTAATATATATATAATATATATATATATAATATATATATATATATATATATATATATATATATATATATATACAGAGACAACCTGATGAGCAGGATCAGCCTGTGGAAAGTGAGCCAGGTGGCCATATAGCCTGAGTTGGCGATCCCGGATTGTGCAGGTAACAGGTCCTGTACCAGTCTCACGGTGCAGCCGTTGGTTAGACACATGGTCTCGCCAACAGTACCCCATGATCCGGCGCAAGGACCTATTACAAAAGGCATCAAGACGAGACTCCAGGGCACTGGATAATGTCCAGGTTTCACTACCATAGAGCAAAACTGGCATTATCAGGGCCTGAAAACCCGTAGCTTGGTCCTTCTGCACAGGTACCGGCACCTCCAAATACTCTTGTCGAGAGAGTTCATGACTCCTGCTGCCAGGCCAATCCGTCTGCTGACTTCCTGGTCTGACAGCCCAGAGTTATGAATTGCACTACCAAGGTGTGTAAAGCTCTCTGTGACTTCAATGTCCTCGCCGCAAGCACGTACCGACCGAACAGGTTCTTCTAGCAAGTCCCCAAAGTCCTGGATCTTGGTCTTGGTTTTGGTCCAGGAGACCTCTAGACCCAAGGGCTTCGCTTCATTACTAAATGCATCGAGAGCCACCACTAAGGTTTCCAAAGACTCAGATAAAATAGCAACATCATCGGCAAAGTCAAGGTCTGTAACCTTAATATTACCCAGTGTTGCTCCACAGTGACTTTGGACAGTAGCTCTACCTAGTATCCAGTCCATGCAAGTGTTGAAAAGTGTTGGTGCAAGAACACAGCCTTGCCTCACTCCTGAACTAACAGGAAAGAAGCTCGACAGGCCCCCACCACACTTTACAGCACTTTCAGTACCAGTATACATGTTTGCTATTAGTTCAATAATCCTTGTTGGAATTCCTCTCAGTCTCAGGATCTCCCAGAGTGATTCCCGATGCACTGTATCGAATGCCTTCTTGAGGTCGATGTAGGCTGCGAGCAGCCCACGTCCGAACTCACGACGGCGCTCTACAATGACTCGGAGCGCAAGGATACGGTCTATTGTGGACTTACCAGGAGTGAATCCAGATTGCTCTGGCCTCTGATGCCTTAGTAGATGGTCTAATACGCCTCAGATGGGATGCGGGCAAGAACCCTGCCCTGAGCAGTGTGATGCCATGATGATTGCTGCAGTCCCATCGGTCCCCCTTCCCCTTCCAGAGAGGGATGACCACATCCCTCAACAGGTCAGGGGAAACGGTACCGGACTGCCAGATGGCAGCCAGGACAGCATGCAATCCCCGTACCATAGGTTCACCACCAGCCTTTAACAGTTCAGCTGGGATGCCGCAAATACCAGCTGCTTTACCACTCTTCAGCTTGGAGATCACCTACCTAACTTCAGTTAGGGAGGGTGGGTCCTCGCTAATGGGTGGGTCCGGCAGCGGAATCACGGCACTACCCACATCCAGGTTAACTGTTGGAGGGTCAACCTGATACAACTGCTCAAAGTACTCAGCCCAACGCTGAGACGATCTGGCCACCTACTAAGCGAACTGCAGTCACCTGTGAAGAGGGCTTAGAATTCAGTTTTCTCAGGGCTTGGTATGCAGGACGAAGGTCATTTACTAAGAAATGGCCTTCGACATCCTCAGCAAGACCTAATAAACTGTTCCTTATCCCTTCTTAACAGAGACCGAGTTCTGCGCACCTGAGAACGGTGCAAATCCCAATCCCCTGCCAGACGAGCCGCACGGCAAGCATCAGTGGCTTCCAGTGTCTCCTGAGAGATTGAATTCTGTCTTGCCCTCGGGCGTTCTCCAATCGATTCTTTGGCTGCATCAAGCGTTTCACACTTGAAGGTGTCCCACAGAAGTACAGGGTCTGTCAGATTGTCAAGCGCTGTGAACCGATCAGAGATTGTCTCAGCAAACCTCCAAGCACACTCTCTTTCAGCCTGTCCAGATGAAACACCCTAGGGTGGTCATTGGGCCGCTGGGAGATTTGAAATGAACCCAGAGGGTAGCCACAACCAATCTAAGGTCAGTACCACAGAACTCGGCACTCCTATACACTGCAGTTCTGAGGATCCTCCAACGAGTGCTAACGAGAATGTGGTCGATCTCCTTGGTTACATTACCCGCATTGCTGTACGATGTCCAACGATGTGGGTCTGGGCGCTGGTACCAGGAGCCTGAAATCCTAAATTTCTGGGATCTTGCAAAATCCCGGAAAAGGAGGGAATTCTCGCTGCTGGTATCAACTCCCGAACCATGAGGACCGACAGACATCTCATAGCCAGCTTGATCACAGCCAGATACCGCATTGAAGTCACCCAGAACAATACGAATATCTCGCTGGGACAACTGTCTGTCACAGACGCAAGTTTGGCGTAGAACATTTCTTTCACGTCAAGTTTACAAACATCGGTAGGAGCGTGCACAGCAATAAGAGACATGAAGCCAAAAGACAGCTTCAGTCTCATTACCATTATACGCTCATCGACTGGAGTGACCTCTACCACCGAGGGCTGGAGCCTACCGGAGACAGCTATGGCTACTCCCTGAAGATAGTGACCATTGCTGCGGCCCGACCAGTAATAGGTGTAGCCACCTACACTGATCGTACTGCTGCCAGGTCTTCTCACCTCCGAGAGAGCAGCCACCCCCACTCTCAGCCTCCCCAGTTCCCTCGATAGCAGGGACGTTCCAAGAGCGGACGTTCCAAGCCTCCACCCTGACTTCCCGCCTGAGGTTAACCCTCGGGCAATCGCTCCGGGTGGACGCCACCTCTGCCACCCCTGCCGACGCTGCTCCACCTAAAAGGCGGCAGGCTGCGGGACCCATCATCCACCTGTGGGGTTCCTTAGGGCTCTTTGCCCCACAAGCTTCATATCGGGCTGGCGGCTGCCAGAACGCAGGCGGACGAAGAGCTCCCGTTCCCATCTGCGCCCCCAACAGCCACCCTCCCAACGAGGCCTGCAGCCTGCCTCTCTCGCTGGGTAGGAGGACATTTCCCCTCCCCCAGCCTTTCCATTTAGACAAGACACTGTCAGTGGGTTATTCTCTGGGGGGAGGAGGACTGGCAAGGCCCACCTCCCCCGAGCCTCCCATTGACCCCAGGGGGCTTAGGGGCAGGAGTTAGTACAGGGCCAGGGCGTGTCCACACGCGGTGGGCCATGACCCTGTACCTCTGGGGCCTCCTGCTGCTCCGAGATCCCCTACAGTTCAGCCTGGGACCGCAAGGTGCCAGTTTCCATAGGTGGCCACGAGGAGGCACTGCAGAAGTCTCGATGATGGAGAGGCTATGCACTGGCAAGGGAGACATGCAGCGCTGCTCCCTTTTTCGCACAAGGTGGCAGCTGCAAGCGAGAAGGCATGCAAGCGCTTAACACTATCTAGGCTACCACACCATCGCTTCACACCACCCGGCGCATGAAGCACCCACCTATATGTATATACTGTATACAAATATATACTCGCACACACTCACACATACATGTATATATAAATATGTATATATTTCTATCTATGTAAATAGCTCTCTCTATATATATACATACATATATACACACATGCATATATATATATTTATGTATATATACATATATGTATATATATATATATATATATATATATATATATATATATATATAATATATATATATATATATATATATATATATAATATATATATATATATATATATATATATATATATATATATAATATATATATATATATATATATATATATATATATATATATATATGAAATAAGCACAATGAGAATTGAAAATAAGCGTATTATTTTCATTTCTCATTGTGGCTTATTTCATTTTTTTGTGTGCACGTGATGTGTTTGTGCTTGCGTTCATATATATATATTATATATATATATATATATATATATATATATATATATATTATATTATATGTATATATACATATATATGTGTGTGTATATATATACATGCATACATATATATATATTTTTTTCTTAAAACATATTGTTTCTTTATTATCAGCACTATTGTATTGTCATTGATATTATTTTCTTCTTTCTTCTCTATAGAGTTTTAGATTATACCATAGTCTGTACTCGCAGGTTATTGTTTTATTACTGTCATTAATACCATTATTGTTATAACTGTTATTTCGAATAGTACGGACAGCATTGGAATTAATTCTAATATTTGGGTTTTCATTATCGTCACTATCTGTTAGGGCTTTTTGATCACAACCATTAGAGATATTACTATTATATTTTTCATCATTGTTGCCAGTTATATTCATCATACTGTAATCATCACCGTTAAATACAATATACCACTTCAGAACACATTTTGTATATAGCCTATGGAACTTTTTTTCTGTTATCTTTCTTTTTTCTTTGTTTCTTCAGTTTTTCATTGTAGATATTTGGTTTACTTGGTATAATGAAACGAAAA